TTAAACTTGATTTGGAAGCGACCCTATCCGATGCATATGCGTCCACATGCGCCTACTACATCATGATTCCATGAACCCTTAGGCAGAAGAAATCAAACGGGTCAAGACGGCCCGGGGGATGCGGATGCGATTTGCGACGGGCCACACGCCCCCGCCGATTCGGAGGCGCATCGAACAAAAATAAAGATTCGTTCCAAATTTATCCGGGCGAAACATGTAAAACCATATTTGCTTCTCCGTCACCCTCGCACTGACGATTACTTGATTATTTCACTCCCACCCCATTTGAGGCTCGATCCAGCCCAAGGATATATGTACTGCCACGTCCTTATCTTCCAATCAACTCAGGCGTGACGTCTCTCAATCCAAAGCGCCGACGCGGAGTCGGGTTAGATTTTAAGCAATTTAGACCGTGCGCTCGGCCGACGGCTACATGTACACCTACAGTCGCGCCCACGTCGCCCGGATGCCCGCTCCCGTGCATAATTAATGCATAATGCATTCCCCCCACAGCCACACCGGGGCCACAGAGGTCAGAGAACGTAGATGATCGTCCAGGATCTCCATATGTGTAATTTCCATTCCAAGACGAAAACAATAAGATTAAGTTGCGTGCACCGGGCCGGGAGATCTAGAGAGAGTTTTTGCGAATGATAAAGCGATTAAAGTCCACGGAGCAGAAGGATTCGGCCGAGATGTAACTCCCGACTCCAGGGTCTTACATCTAACATTTGTGCTGTGAAACTCAAATCTCAAGGCGCGTCTGATACGTCTGATGCCATGCTTCCCTTCATGTGTTCTTTTATCCTCCATTGCAATGTTAACGTTTTGAGTCGTTTGTTCAACTTCGTTCGAATGTTCATTGACAGCGAGGGAAAACATGCATGGATGTTGTATGTAGAAACGAACCAGCATCAATGCCCGTTGGACCTACTGACCGAGACTGCCTTGTTCTGTTCGAATAAATCTGCCCTTGTATTCTGCTACTTACCTCGCACACTGCGCGCGTGATTGCATGCATCATGCGGTGGAGGACCAAGAGAGTGCGAAGCGATTCAAAAAAGGAACGAGGAACTTTGTTCTTGCCGTATCTCCTTGTTCTTGTTCTCCTTGTTCTTGGAACTCGGAAAAAAGCATGGATCCCACTCTGCATCTATTTGATCAACTTGAGCGCTTCATGATCTCTGTCGACTTCGTGATGGCGTCCAATTGCGGTACAAGGGCACTCCAACTTCGCCACTTTCTCGGGGTCTTGTTAAATGTCTACATGCCCAAACCTTATGAATCACATCTATGCGTGTATCGTGAAGCAAGAATTCTCCACACACGAAAGTTCGAAGATAGTTCAAGTCCCGGCAATCCCCGGTGGCTGTGTGGCTTGGTTGAAATGTTCGATTTTTGTCGAGTTCTGCGTGTTTCTGTCCGATATCTTGTCATCTCTCTCGACTTCGACTAGATTTCTTAAACACGAGCTTTGCTTCCCCGTGACTACATTACTGGCACCGAATTAGTCCACTGTCAACGCAGCCACTATTTCATTTCCGCTCTCAATTTAAGTTTTAGGGTCGCTTTATAGCGTTTCAAGGAACCCCATGATCAGACATGTACCCTGTTTTCAATTCCTCAGCCACACGCCGACGCGGAGCCAGATTAGATTTTAAGGCCGCGCGCCGGCACCCACGCCGCCCGGACGCCGGCAACCCTCCGCAGTCGGACCATTCCCGCCACAGCCTCCGCCGTGGCACATAGATGACCCTGTTCTCCATATGTACCACTTCCATTGTTGGGTTTTACCCATAGGAAGAACAGTAAGCTGTGTCGTGGCAGTGGAGTGCACCGGGCCGGGAGAGGTTGTACACTTGAGAGTTTTGGTATAATGATGCATATTAGACAGGTTGAGCACGAGCAACTGGAGCCACCCAGTGCCTCTCGGACCGTGGTGGCTACACAGCCAGAAATGACGTGAATGAATGCATATGCATATGCGCACCGACGATTGCCGAGTTTCGGCAGGCTCGAGGTGCAACTTGAAAGTCGAAATTTCGGCCTAAGTTAAAATGTGAACTGAAACTATTAGTTTCAGTCTCATCGAAATTACGAAAGCACATTTCAGTTGCGCTGAAATCAATAGTTTCAGTCTGACTTCGGTCCAACTTAAATCCAACCTCACACGGGCGATTGCCAAATTTCGGCATGCCGGACATTGTATTCTGAACTCCGGATATCAGAACAAAATTCAGCTCATCTAATACAAAAGCTTTTTCCCAGATTTTCAGTTCCAGTATCAGCGCATCCCTGAAATCCGTTCCGATATTATAAGTTTCAGATAGAATGTCCGACATTCCAAAATTTGGGAAACTTATTGATGGGCACTTGGTCTTTGTTCCCACTTTGTCATTGCTTTGTTTTAGCACACATGGAGACCTTTGCCAAGTTTTGGGACACCGGACGTTCTATCGGAAAGTTGGAATATCAGAATAGCATTCGGCTTCAGCTGATTTGTGTAACTGAAACTCACGGAATCAGAACCGGCTTCTGTCCGGCTGAAATCAAGTCTGATACCTCAGCTTTCAAATAGAACGTCCGGTGTGCCGAAAATTGGCAATCACCGGTGTGCCTCATACCTTAAATTTCGAATAGCACCTCAAGTGTGCCGAAACTTGGCACTCGTGCATATGGGTGTGATGGCTGTGAGTGGCTCATTGGATTCACTCACCTGCTATTTATGCGCACGGTCCGAGAGCCGTGACTGAGTGGCTCCAGTCATTGTGTTCCGCTACCACCTAGCCAGACCTAGCATTAGTTTGGCTAGCTGATCGGGGGTCTGCGTAGGTCTGTGTAGTTAACTACACAGAGTCTGCGTAGGTCTGCATAGTCCAAGTGTAGTCAACTACGCTTGGGCTACACAGACCCCCGATCAGCTGGGCCGACTGAGCCTAGGTGGCAGCGGAACGCAGTGAGTGGCTCATGCTCAACCTGTCTACTTACTGGTAGGGCTGCGGACCATACTGTATACGGGGACGGCCGTACATTTGACGGCCGTATTTTAGCTTACCCATACCGTATGCCGTCCCATTGCCACAAATTCCTGGGACTCGATGTGACGGTATGGCACAAAAACGGCCGTAGACACTGCGTTCCGCTGCCAACTAGCCAGACCTAGCATTAGTTTGGCTAGCTGATCGGGGGTCTGTGTAGCCCAAGCGTAGTCGACTACGCTTGGACTATGCAGACCTACAAAGACTCTGTGTAGTCGACTACACAGACCTATGCAGACCTATGCACACCCCCGATCAGCTGGGCAGACTCAACCTAGGTGGCAGCGGAACACAGTGATACGGGAGGGCGGTGCGTAAAACCTCTACAGGTTAACCAGGGTGTGACAGCCCTAGCCTCGCATCTGGGTATGATATGTCTGAGATTGTCTCTGAGATACATACTTGGAAGGAGCAATTCATCAGTGTTCAAAATTTCCGGGTCTGAACAGGCATGAGTTTTATCTTGGAGAAAAAAAATACAACCAAATTTCCCAACTCGGTTCCAGAGAAGCAAAATAACGTACACAAGGAGATTGTAATCACATTTGAACTGAGGACGAGCCAACACAACCTTTCAGTAGCAGTATTTGGGAACAAAGGCCACCTCGGGCTAAGACCGCATCAATTTTACTCTATTATAGTTGCATTTTTGAAACACTCTACTTGGAATCAGCCGGGATGCAAGAGAGAAAAATCAACTCCCTATGGTCTTCTCAAGTCCGGCAGGGCACGGCAATGCCGGCATCAGCTAATGTCCTATGCTGAGTGTCCTATCAATTCCTGAAAGTCGGCGGCATCACAAATGTCCCCTTGCAATTGTCGTAGGCGGCCTTCTGGTAAGTTCCGTACCAGTTCTGTTGATTTCAATCCAATTCCCGGCCATTTGGGCAAGTCCAGTTTCGACGCCGTATTCGGCCGTATTTTCGACATAACGGCGTACGGTACGGCAAAACCCGTCCCATCCAATGGAGGGGTGGAAGGGCCGACGGGACGGTACGGGTGCTGTATTACAGAAGCCGTATAACCGTCTTTTATGGTTCGGGTCAGCAGCCCTACCCATCGGACGGCGTGAAGAATGGCCCAGCATCTCCGAAGCGGCGGTCAAATCAGACGATGAATGTTTTGAGAAAAGGAAGCATAACAGCCAGTCCAGAAACTCTGCGGTTTGCAATCCTCCGGTGATTACCGTTGCCGAAACGAGATTGCTACATTGCAACATCGCGCAGCAAGTGGTGAAGTCATAGACTGTCAGACGTCGTTGGTCCTCCCAATCCTCCATTCGTGTTGCACCAACTCGGAGTCCTTCTGAACCTCAACGCTACTTGCTGCAGCTCCACTGCTCTCACTACTCACTCCAGAACCGCGCCATTGCGTCGCCCTTCGCCCACTCTGACATTGACGCGACGCATGCGCTTTTCCCCGTTACGGACACATTTTCTCGCATTTTGGTCAGAATTCGAACCACTCGAGCACCCGATCTCAGAAAAATTTACCTTCCTTTTTGACTGGAATACCTTGAATATTTCCGGCCTGCGGTACTGTTTTACTCTATAACAGAGCCAGTTCACTCTATATCCCGGAGCAAAAGCATCAAATTTCTAGCGTTGTTTTGCTCTATTCCGGAGGGAAATAGTAGCTAGTGACCGGGGGGCCTGTCGTGGCAGTGTATTTCGATTCACGCGGCCGAGGTATAAATGCAGACACTATCCTTTTCTTGTGAAACTCAAGGTGTGTCTGATAGCCTTCTTCCCTTCCTTTGCGTCTTTTCCTAGGGTAAGACGAAATGCATGGTTTTCTGTCGGATTATTAACAACAAATGGACCAAAATATGCAGGTGCGTGGACGCTGTAGGGAAAACAAAGGAAGCAACTACTCACAGCAGAGGCAACTCCTTTCAGGGAGAACTGTCCAGGAAAGTTTCAACCGTGTGACTAATATTTCCTTCAAGCCATAATGTTCGTCGGGCGCATGGTGTAGTTGGTTATCACGCTCGCTTAGCATTTATTACGTAACTGCGAGAGGTGTTGGGTTCAATTCCCAATGCGTCCAGCCCTTTTTGGCTTTCTTTTCACTCCTTGAACACCCCGAACATCCCTTGAAACGCGCCGAACATCTTTTTGTGACCGCAACTGATGGAGGTTGCGAGATGCCCGATATCTTGACACAGAAACATTTCTGGGCTCGGAAGACTACCCAAGACGAATCTGAATACTTCCGACTATCCTTCAGAATATTTTCAGATTTTTTTAGAATGAAAAGAAGAGCGGGGGGAGCATTCAACAATTCGCGATCAATATATGATGGTTGTCCAAAACATGCGGCAATCTCCGGTGGCTGTGTTCTATGGTTGAAAATGCTCAATTTTGAGAGTGTGCATCGTACATGGCAAGGCCGGTGCTTCTGTCAGATATCTCTGTATGTCTGTATTCCATGACAATAAACCCCGTGCCCGCGTACCTGCCACTAAACTATTACTGATCAATCCAGCCATTATTTCATTTCCGCTTTCGATTTGAGGCTCTCTTTATGGAATCTGATCTCTGCGCACTGCAACACTACATTCTATGGCCGGTCCAAATTCACTTTTACAGTGTTTTCAGAAAACTCTGGCTGCACCACTTTTCCGCAAATCAAATAAAACATGTCGTAATGCTTGATGCGCTATATACTGTACTCTTACAATCAATTCGTCAAGCGGTGTGACGCGTGACTCAAATTTCCATTTCGTCAATTCGTCAACGGGCCTTGGGCCGCGTGACGGGCCCCAAAAATTCGTCAGATCTGAGATCCACTCCAGAGTCCATAGGACCTTCAACTAAGCACTTTATAATTGAGAAGAGGACACAAACCGCTTTAACAGAGGGAAAATTTGAGAAATCAAGAAAAACATCATGTTTTAGCAGTGGACCCGCGTTTTCCGAACCAAAGCCTGCGCGATTTCGGGCAGAAAGGCACTTAAAGACCACAAGAGTACATGAAAAGAGTGAATCGGGCCTGCGGCGCCGGAAAAAACCGCATTTTCCATGATTTCAGCCAAAAATTGAACCAAGTGTGACAAGAAATATATTCGTCAAGACCCTGCGTGACGCGTTACCAAGTTCCAAAATTCGTCACGTCAAGGGCCTGCGTGACGCGTGACTGACGAATTGATTGTAAGAGTACAGTATACGCGGCGGCTGCAAGCTGGTGGACTGTGCACCTCGGTGCAAGCAAAGTGTTACAATCATACACAGGAGAATAACAACGCCCGTGGCCCTTCCTCGAGCTCGCATTTTGAGGCCGGCGCGGTCAGATTCAGCAGAGGTGTTGTGGAAACTAGCCTTTTTCAGATAGACTTTTAGTTGACGGTCTCAAATCTCATAAAGGTGTCGGAAATCGGGAAATTTAACGTGTCGGAAATTCGAAAAAAAGCCGAAAAGTGTTGCATGTGCATTTTGATCGCCATAGAGTGACCGTGATCAATGCTTAAGTTACGGCGTGACTTGACTCGCCGAGCACACGCTCTCCCCATCATGCTCTTCGCCTTCGGTCGGTCTGAAGGCAGGTACTATATTGCCAACGGGAAGAGGAACTACTGGTCAACTTGCTTTACGTGTAATCCTCATCCTGAAGGCTAATGCGGGAACTCCGTATAGGAAGAACGTACCGAACTCGCTCGCCAAGCACCTGAACAAGAACCATGTGTTGCAAGCCATCTCATTTGGTATAGAGGACACCTGGTTCTTCACAGAGGCCCCTCACGAGGGAACGAATGGATCCTACTGCCGTACGCTCTTAACTCCTCGCTGCCCAAAACCCGATATTCACACCTTGCTCAGTGTCCAGCGCAGCGGCCGTCTACTACCCGCAGGTCTGGGAAATTTACCAATCAGACGAGAACATAAACTGGGTTGCGTTCGGCCCGCGTGGGCACTATATCGTCGACACACAGAAACAGCTCTACCACTCCGACACCGAGATGGTGCGGCAGTATGAGAAAGGAGCTGGTGTTCCCTTGCGGTGCGCGTCATTCGGGTACGACGGAGCGTGGGTCTGCGTGGAGGACGACGGCGAGATACGGTCGTCTGGTCTGTCCGCAAAGGTTCAAGTCGCCTTGGAGAAGAAGGCCGTCCGCGTGAGTTGGAGTCTAGCTGTCGGTGCTTCACATAATGTATCACCTTCCAGAACGTCCAGCTCAGCGCGAACTCGTCAACGATCTTCTTCATCGAGTACGTGGATGGAGAGACGGCCTGGAGTATGCCCTCTTCGTGGAGCTCCAACATCGAGAGTATCGGAAACATATGCAAGTGATATTTTAATTTGCGATTCCCTGCGCTGATGTCGTCTCGTCCAGCTGTGCGCTTAGATGACCCTGGAGCTCCAGGGGGTATGTTGACTGTCTGTCAGCGTGGGATGCATTTACTGAAGCAACACAGAACAAAGCGTCTCTCAACGAATCATCTTTGCCTTCGGGCACAAGCCCGATACATTTTGCGTATTGAATGGGCAACAGGCCAGCTGGTACGTCGATCTCGCTTGACACCGGGCATTTTTATGAACGAGACATTAGGAGAGGTATCGCCGACTCGGATGCTACAACGCGGCTCAAACGCGCGGGCACGACGCAGGCCTTCTCTCTCGGCGAAAATGGAGCGTGGTTCTGGAGACAAGGTGGCTCCAGCTCTTGTACGTCCATATATCCATCCATCTTCAGCGTCGCTCACTTGACGCAGTGTCGACTGCAACGAAGGTGGCTTACCCCGAAGTTTGGCGCATCTGCATGTCGGACGAGGAGATCAACTGGGTGGCGTTTGGGCCTCAGGGGTACTATATCATTGACACGGAATCACGTATCTATGCATCTCGGTCGGACACCATTCTGCGGAACTACAAGAACGGCCAGCAGGTGCCCCTTCGATGCGGATCGTTCGGCTACGGGGCTGCGTGGGTGGTGGTCGAGGACGACGGGGTCATTCGCAGCTCAGGGCTCTCGCAGGACCTGTTGAAGATGCTAAAAGTTGGGAGCGTGCGGGTGGGTCGGCTCCCTTGTGTCTTCCGGCGCAGAACGATTCACTAACGTGTATCGCAGAACGTACAACTGAGCATTGCCGATCCGGACCAATGCTACATTGAGTACATGGATGGGACGAGCGACTGGAGGCTCCCGAAGAGCTGGCACGACGACGTCTCGCGGATCGAGGGCAACCGTAAGTGTCGCGATTGGCGCATCTGGCTCTTGGTCTTGACTTTTTTATCTTAGTCCCGAAGCCGTCCACCGCCTCAAACAACACCAACACGGAGACAGAGTACCTTCAGGTCATACCCGCCGGGCCCGTATTCAATAGTGGTGAGTCACCTATGTGCCAACTACGTCCCTCCCACTTGAACGTACATTATGGTTCGTTTTCTAGTCTCGTACCAATTCTCCACCTCCTGGCGCCACACAGAGCACCCGCGCCCGACCGTGCGCTATGTCTACAAGATCACCCCCGTGAGCGCGGATTCGAAGAGCGCGCACAAAGCTTACGCGTCAGTAAACCATATCACATCCTATCTCATTTGAGTGCTAATGAAGATGTGTGGGTAGGAAACGCATTGGTAACGAGCAGAAACTCTGGCATGCGACACTGCGACGGTGCAAGCTCGGAGACGAAGGGCGGGGGCTGAAGTTGTGCGCGGACGCGAAGTGCTCGCTCTGCCAAATCATACGCACGGGTTTCAAGAAGAGATTCTCGCTGGATTCGGGCATGTGCGTTGGTTCCTTGCGAATGAACGGAATTCTGACCCAGTCGCACCCCACCCAGGTTCGGCAAGGGGCTATACACGTCGACAACGTCGTCCAAGTAGGCTTTCGTTGCTGGTGCAATTGTTGAATTGATTATTTTTAGGGCGGCAGGGTACTCTCAGAACAGCCGGGCGTCGAAGTACAAGGCCATACTCTTGAACAATGTTGTCGTGGGCCGAGCGTACGAGACGAATGAGGCAATGGTAGGGTCCACTGCGCCGCCGAAGGGCTTCGACTCTGTCAGTCATTCGCATCCGCATCCTCCCGCGTGGCGCACCGATAAATGTATGTACTGATCCCATGCTATGTGCAGGTCTGTGGCTTGCCAGGCAGCGCGCTCAAGTACGACGAGACGTGTGTGTACGACGACGACGCGATCCGGCCGACGTATCTCATTCTGTATGATGCCAAAGCATGAAGCGTGGATCGCGGACGTGGTAGGCTGAATTTCGATATATATGACCCATGCGTTCGCCCCCAGCTAACGTTTGCTAATAAGCAGATTGACAATGGTTCTACTCCTGCGGAAAGTCCCCCGCCGGCATCTCTGTGCTTGTCTTCATCGAACATTTTTATCCTCCGAATCTTACGTTCATCTCTCTGGCTCGAGTCTGTCCTTCCTCGCTACTGGCCGCGCCGTTGATCTGCGTGCTCTCTTTGTCCAGCTCCGCCTCGACCCGTCTCTTACAGTGTCTTCCCCAGTTCCTTGTAATCTCTCTTTGCTTTCCATCAGGACATATTGGGTGGACATGGACATCGTTGACATAGAAATGGGATTTTTCATTTGCCGCAATTTTTACGAGAAGGAAAAGTGTTTCTCGCTATTTCGAATCTCAAGCACCTTTCACAACACCGTTCACAGCACCCGTATACGGCTTAGTGCAGTACACATAGTACGGCTCCCAGAACCGTACCTCAACCGTCCCGTACTGACTGTTGTTGCCAGAATTTTGGCGAGGCGGCGAGGCCACATACCATCGAACTGCCGACTGATGGTTCGTTTGAGTGCAATGACGAGGAGAGATTGAAAAGCTTTCGGGATAAGTCGTGGGACAAGAAGTAGAACACGACTGATTGGTATTATCTAAGACTGGTTAGTGTACAGTAGTTAATGGCCACTTGCATAATATCAGATGTTGTTAGGGTCCTGGGATTTAGTTCCTATGGTGTATACGTTGTGGGTTATGTGTTTTTGGTGTGCAAAATCTTCAGAGACATCCAACGCATCCACTCAGTTGGATGTTCGGCGAATGAGAAAAACATGCACTTACCTCTAAAAACAAAT